GCTGAACTTGATACTGGTATAGGTGTAACTAATGATCCAGCGGAGGACACTGCCATATTCGTACCATCTGGTAATATAGGTGTGAACTGATATTGCGCTGAATTTATAATTGCCGGATTATGTGTTGGATCAAGAGATTCTGTTACATCACTCGTATAATTACTAGATTGTTGAGTAGACACATTTTGCATAGTCTCAGAAGGCACTACTGGAATTGGAATAACATAAGCATGTGGTATTCCAGCTGTTGCCTGAGGTGGTTGTAGTTGCAAAGGAGTTTGTTTCAATTTCTGCATAGCTAATCGTAATGTTTCATCGGTATCTGGATAATTACTTGGAGCTTTTTGCAAAGGAGTTTGAGGCGTTGTATTAAACATTAAATAATCTTCTGGACCTGGAAGTCTACTTTGTCCTAGTGAAAAAAAGACTACATCATTACAAGACACGATAAAGTACATATAATAATCGGAATGAAATATATTGATTAATTACTTGAAATTTTAAGTAGATATTACTCACTAACCTGCTACACTAGTTGCAACGGTATGATAAAGCACTGGATGGTGCTGATGATGGTGTTGATGAAGTGCACTTGCTTGCTGTTGCTGTTGAATTAATAGCTGCAATTGATGCTGTTGAAATCGTTCCAATTCTTCTCTATGTCTTCTTTGTAGTGTTTCTAATTCCATAGTTTGCCTATATAAAAGTAAAGTTAGTTTCTAATTGTCATAAATATTATAAGATTAAATTTTGCAGACGTCCACATACTTTTTTATAAGCAATTGATATTCTTCACTTGGGGTTAATGTCCAAAATCTTTCATCTTTTTCCGACTGTTATAAACAATAATAATGGTTTAGTTAATAATAAGCAAATATAATAATTGGTTAAATAAATTAATTAAATTTATATTAAAATATGTACTTACTTCTACAGTAGGTATACTAACAGATTGACTAACTTGTGTAGGTGGAAGCGAACCCTCACGACTATGAATTATTTGTACTGATGTACCTGAAAGTTCATAAATATTTAGTTTTTAAACATTTTGAGATTTATTTGACCCTCCAAAAATTAAACTTGCAATTTCATACCCTGTATGTCATCTGTATGATAAATTTTTGAATCCTCTATTTGATTTTTTGATATATCGGTCTGTTGTTGAGTTGATGTACCAGCATTGCCAGGAGGACCTGCGACCTTGGAAACTACGAATCTTGATATTTTTCTAACAGGTTGTGTCGTACTAACCTTCTATTAAAATTAGATAATTATTTTTCCAAAATATTTATTATACATATAACAATTTACTATTTAAATGTATTACATACCTCAGAAGTATTTTCTTGAGATTCTATTTGCACTGGAGTGTTTGTATCAGAGCATGATGTATTGACACTGGGAGTAACAGTAGCAATAGGTATAGCAGTTACAGAAGGAACAGTGGTTAATAAACTTTGAGTAGCTTGTAATGGTGGTTGCACTTGAATAGAACCAACAACAGAAACAGGTGGTGTTACAGGTTGTGGAGAAGCAGTTGGTAGAATCGAGCCCCTGTGATGAATTTTTGCTAATTCTTGTTCTAATTCTTGAAGACGAGATCCTGGTCTTTGTGTTCGAACTTTTATGCTTTCTTTACTAGGGCTCATAGTTTCAGATCCTACAGGACCACCTCCTGGCGTTGGACTATCGAGAGAGCAATCAACGTGCTGAACACAACAAAGTTCTATATTTTTATACTATTAATTTGAATCTTTTAATTAAGTACATATAATTTTATTAATGTAAAACTTACAGTTTGAGAAAGTGCAAGTTGATGAATTGCACTTTCTTGGGTTAAAACAGAGCTTTCAACACTTGTTGTAACATTTGAATCAGATAAAGTTGTAGTAGTCTGTATTGTAGTCTGAGGTGACAAAGGTCCCTATTATACATTATTCATATCATTAATACAAAGTATGTAAAGATGAAGATGAAGATAATTTCTTAGATTTTATGAATTACTTACTATACCATGTGTAGTGGAAATTGGCATACCAATATTAACAAGTTTTTGTTGTAAAGAGTGCATATAAGCATCATATCCACCTATTATCTGATGATTATGGGGAGTAGCTGGATAACTTATAGGCGGTGTGCCTACGTTTAATGCTTCGGACGGTTGACTTGTTAATTGAACAAGTTTTTGATGGAGATCTGCTATTGTTTGTGGACCTGTTCCTCCTGGAACACTAGTTCCAGTAGTCGTGTCTGAGACTTTATCTAAAGAATTCTGCTGACTAAGTTTTCGATGCTGTTGCTGTTGTTGTTGTTGTTGTTGTTGTTGCAATATTTGATTTTGTGTAAATAATGCTGAATCTACAGACTCAACAATTGTATGTTCAGGAGTTATATCATGGCTAGAGTTTTCGATTTCCGATAGTAAAGGATATTCTGAACTTGTACGCCTAATATTTAAAGAAAATAAATTATTGTATGAAATGTAAAATTTAACAAAAATATAGTAAATAATTATCTATATAAATCATACATACCCAACTAAATTGCTTCCTTCTTGAGTTTCTGTTTTATCGGAAGAAGTAAAATTTTCCACATTTTGAGTATCTTGTATAACATGTTGTAGAATAGTTTGTTGCAATTGTGATTGAGTCTGCTGACTGTGTCTGATAGGTGCAGTTTGTTGTACAATATTTTGATTCACAGGAGTAATCCATTTACTTTGTGAGCTTAATGTATGAATCGTTACTCCTTGAAAATTTTGTTGTGCTATTTGCAACTGAGGATCCATCTGATGAGTTGTATTCAGTTGCATTGTTTGTTGCAAAGGTACTTGAGCTTGATGAGTATGTTGACTAATTTGAAATGTTTGTGGAATTCCTTGCTGTATATTCGTTTGATAATTTTGCGACAATTGTGATTGTATTTGTATTTGACTTGCTTCTGGTTGAATAGGTTGAAAATATTGTTCAGGCTGAAGAGTAGGTTTATATTCGAGTACTGTAGTACCTGAGATATTTACAGTTTGATTTGACTCATGAGTGGTTAAATTATGAGGAGTTACAGATTTTGATTTTGGATTTGAAAGTATATTTGCTAGATTTTGTGCTAAATCTGGAAGCGTAGATGAAACTTCTTTTGTCTTAAGCATAACTTTAGGAGCAACTTCTGCAGTAACAACTTGATGTACAGGAACTGAAACAGGAACAGATACGTTTGCTGGAACATTCACTGTATTTTGAGGAGCTGTTTGAAGCTGTTGGACTGGTTCCAGAACAGTCTGCGATAAAGGTGTAATATTTGAACCATCTTGTTGAGAAATAAATTGAATATGCTGCACTTGAGACATTGATGAATTAGGTATGATCATAGATTGTTTCTTATCATCTGTAGCATTAGCAGTTTCTGAAATTTGAGAATCTGTGGACATATTTGATGTTGTAGAAATATTGGAAATTCTACGGTTTCTTTCATCTATAATTGCAGTTGGTTGCAATTGTGGAATAGGTCCAGAAAGTATTACATATTGTTGATGTTGTTGCGGTATTTGCTGAGGATGAAATTGTTGCAATGGTCGCTGTGTTTGTATTTGTCCCTGAGGTTGATGTTCAGGCTGCATATGCATTTGAGCTAAATTTTGTTGTACAGTAATTTGTTGTTGTTGTAATAGAACATTACATTGTGTAGGTTGATTTTGATACTGTCCTTGTAAATTGATTCCACTTGATGAAACTTGGGTTTGTAGATCTTTTTGCGTCATGACTACATTTTGAGGTACAGTTTGTACCTGTTGAGATGACTGATGTGGCATAGTTGATCCTTGAATGATTATACTGTGTTGACTAGATTGCATAGTATTAACATTTTGTTGCATTTGAGACATGGATGGTACTGTTTGACCTTGTACAGCATTTTGAAGATTAATTGTTTGCTGTACTGGTTGTATTGTTTGAACATTTTCTATTTGTTCTGTGACACATTGAGAACTTTGTGTCATGGTTTCGATACCAGATTTCTCAGGAGTTACAGCTTGTGCCTCTAAAATATTCACCTCTAAATCATCACGTTTTACTTGGCCCTCATCAACAATATTTGGTTGCGATAAGGAATTTGACTGTGTCATCAACATGTTAGATTTGTCTGTACTTTCTACAGTACTAGATCCTTCTTCTTCGCTTGTAACGATTTTCTGTTCGACTACAGGACTAACTAAGAAACGAGAGATTTTTCGTGTTGGCGGCGGCGCAGTTAATGTAGTTACTTCAACAGCTGAAGCATCGGGTTGAGTTTCTTTATTCGTTTCTTTTTCTTGTTCCATTATATCTTGAACTGGAGATTCTTTACATTTTTCACTGCTTTGATTTATAACTGGATCATATATTTGACTTTGAGTGTACGTTGTCGAACATTGATATGATTTAACGCTTTCATCTTTAAGTAAGTAATGAGCGTCTAAGACTGTGTCCGTAGTTGTTACCGAAACTATAGTTTCTTGAGTTGGATCAGTTGGATCACTTGGTAAATTAGTTGGTGTTAAGGTATCTGTATTTTGTGTGGAGGTTGATGACCTTCTAGATGCTTCAGCTGATGTATTTTCAGGACCCATCTGACTATCAGGCGTTTGTACATTTTGTTGTTTATCCATAGAGGTGGTGCCCGTAATATGAGAAAGAATTTGGTCAATCGGTAGTAATTTTGTAGGTGTGGAAGTATTGGAAGTTTCGTCTCTCTGGAATCATACAACAGATAATTATCTAGGTGCCAAAATTGTTTTTTACCACAAAATAATTACGATGCACGTAAACAAAACAATATTGTAGTATAAATAAAATAATTAATATAAAATACAGTTGTGTAAATCAGTTACATTATGAAGTATATTTAAACTAAATTACAAAAGGAAAACACAAATAGGTATTTTTAATAATAAACAAATATCTTATACTGGTATTATATTATAACAATCTATTAAATAAAGTCACTTATATTTAAAGTATTTCATAATTATTTATGTATTGTATTAAATGATGTATTATGTATTTTATATATACATATAAAGTATATATGTGACATATTCATAAATATGATATTATACTCTTAATTGACATAATTTTTGTAAAAAAAACTGAATTTTCCTGAAAACTTTTCAAATGAAAATTAAATATAACGTCTAAAAATAAATAGAAACTGAAGCATGCCTAGTCCGTGATCTAAACGTTATGTTAATATGAATTGCCTATGGGAGAAATTTAACAGTATGCAGGAAATGTCGTATAATATTGTTGTACTTTAAAAGATACACAAATGTCCGAACACAATATATCATGAATCAAAAAGGATGCACAAACGTCCACGATTATACAATGAAATATAGGAAATAGGAAAAGGTACAATGGGGACGATGAACTCACCGAACGGTGTCTACGATGGACTTTGTACGACGATCGGTGGCTGCTTTGACGAGTTAGCGAGCCATGTCTCACCTGCTGCGTCCAAAACGATACACACCAATTATACCTTGGAGGTACACCCTTGTATTTTTTAATGGGACCACGAGATATACATCTCGAGTGTAATCACAATGTTATTTTAATATGAAATATATAAGAAACATGGTTCCATTATTTCGGGAAAAGAATTTATAATAAGCAAAATAGTCCTATGATATGCATTATGGACTTTTGTGTATCAGGTTCTTAAATAATAGTCGATAATAGTAATGATAGTATTTTTTGTTAAAAACATTTATTCCAAAATTTGTTTGTTTTTCTAATAAAAATAAAAAAAAAGAGAGAAAAAAGAAAAAAACGAATTTCCTTTCTAGATAATTTATATTAGTTTCATTGTATTTGTAAACTATTAATCTAATAAATAAACTTGAAAAAAGAAAAGAAAACCGTTACCTTAGCTGTATCAAGACTGTGGTCACGATCTCTAGGTCGACGACTAGTAACTGGACTACCACCAGCAGATTGATCTGGTGGACCATGAGCTACTAATGGCAAAGTTCGTGTTGGATCTAAACGCAATTGTTTAACGATATCTTCTATTAATTCAACAAACGTTTCACATTGAGATTGTGGTAATAAATTTTCGGCAACCTGTAAATAATAAATATAAAACAGTAACATATATTTTAATAATAAAAATACCTAAAATTCTGCCATTTGCTTACCAAATTGTTAGCAATATCAGTAGGCACCATATCATCTCTGTCAAATTTAAATGTTACAGTTTTTTGTTTGCTGGTATCTAATTGACATTCAACAGTCATTGATTGTCCCTCACTACTGCTTACAGATAAAACTGTTAATTTAATACCAGGCTTTTTACGTTTCGTACCAGATCTTTTCACTTTAGATCTTTCAGATGCAGCAATATTTTCAGTATTTTCTTGAGTTATACTACATGGGTAAAATATTAGATTAGATTCTTGAATAATGCTTATTTGTAGAATAACTGAAGTTCCATAAATTTACCCTTCATTTGGCACTGCTGCTTGAGATGTAGCGCTTACATTAGTCAAATTAGAGACATTTCCTTGATCTTGAATATTAGATGGTATGTCTGTTGGTAAAGATTGAACAGAATCCATTGTATCCTGTTTAGATAGAGATGATCTATCTGTATTAGAACACTGATCTGTATTTGAGATGAAATGCTGTTGATGCTGGGATGTTGCTGTTGATTGCGCAGAAATCCCAGATGATATGGGTACGGAGGTAGGGATGTTAGAATTTTGCGAATATTGCATCTGAACTAAAACATTCTGTTGAGGTTGAGACTGATGCCCACTATTTGAAATAAGCGTAGATGCATTTTGCATATTTGGAATTGTTGAAGTTGCCGTATTTTGTATATGAGTCGCCGATGATGTACTCTGAATATTCATACTAGATGGTACAGCAGATGTTTGAACTTGACCTGTTTGTTGTTGTATATAAGGCTGTGACGTTGATGGTGCTGTGTTTTGGGATATAGTAGGGTGAGAATACATTTGGGCTGCAGGCTGGTTAGATGATAAAATCTCGACATGACCAGAAGAATTCGAACTAGTATATGAATGATACATTTGTTGAGATATATTTTGCTGGTACATAGGTTGTGTATTGTACGTTGAAGTTCCTGTTGTATTTTGTTGATAGTATTGTTGATTTTGAACTGATGGAGAACCCACTGAATGTGAATGTACTTGTTGAACATGCTGTATTTGTGGTTGAGAATATTGCACTTGTTGAGATTGCTGTATTTGCTGATGCATATGTTGCGGTTGCGATAACATTTGTATCTGTGGTTGTATTTGTTGTTGTATCTGATGACTCATTTGTTGCGGTACATTCATTTGATTCAATTGTATGTACTGTTGTTGTTGATGCAAATGTTGCTGTTGTTGTATTTGTTGAGTTACTTGAGGAAACTGCGGCTGTGTCTGCACAGTCTGAGGAGTAGAACATTGCGAAGAAGTAGCAGTTAAATTTTGCGAAACATGTTGAGAAAATTGTTGTTGTTGCTGCTGCTGTTGATATTGTTGTTGTAATTGCTGCTGGTATTGCTGTTGTTGATACTGCACCTGCTGTTGTGAAACCTGAGATACTTGTTGCATTTGTTGTGCTTGCTGTGGTTGAACAACAGATGTTTGTTGTTGCATTAATGGTTGTTGCTGAACTAATTGAACTTGTTGTGGTTGTAAATTATGCTGCTGGGTTTGTTGTGCAGTAGTTTGCATTTGTTGTTGTGGTTGCAATGGTATTTGATTTTGCTGCAACTGCATTTGTACTTGGCCTTGCATTTGAATGCCCATGTTCGATTGCATTTGTTGTTGCTGTTGTAATTGCATTTGCTGAAGCAATAATTGTTGCTGTAACAGATTTTCATTAGTTGTATTAGCGCTGTCAGCTTCACGATCTAAACGTTCTTTTTCTTCTTTGGCTTTACGTTCTTCTCTTTCCCGTAGTAACGTAGTAATTTGTGATTTTAACATTTTTGTTACAGCTTTAACATCTTCTTCAAGTATAAGGCTAGATTTAGCCATTTCTGAGGCTACTTCTTCTGCATTATCAGCCTGAATATCAAAGTCAAACTGTATTGCTTCATTCTCCTTATGTTTGTTAGTACGTTTCTTAGGATCTAACACTCGAAGTCTGAATTCGACACGCGCTATAGCGACATCCGCTATAGCTGAATCTCTTGAAACCATTTCTAATTTTAAACCAACATCATCCGCAAAAAATTCATGATTTAACAGATCTTTAACTAAGGGCCGTTCTTCTTTCTTTAAACGAATACACATTTCTATAATTTCACGTACTTCTGGATTTTCCACCTTGTCGTAACTTTGTGGTTTAACACCCTGTATAATACAACCATTATTTAACATGTTATTTGATAAATACAAATAAATAAGTATAAAGAGTACAATATTCAGTAAATAAATTAATGAAAATAATTTGATTGGATAAAATTTAAAAAATTGTACATTTAACATAATTATTTTAATGTTATTAATTAAAATCAGCATTAATTTACCGATACTACGCGCTTATATATTTGTGCTGGTCCAGTACATTCTGAATATGGATATTCACTAGTAGCCATTTCAAGCATACACATTCCAAATGCGTAAACATCAACAGATTCATCGTAATGTTCTTCGTACATTTCTGGTGCCATAAATTCGGGTGTTCCTATAACGCTCTTTGCAAAACTTCGATTTTTAAGAGTAGCAAGTCCTAAGTCGCCAATTTTTACACTTCCTGTTGTACCAGTAATAAAAATATTGTCACACTTTAAATCTCGATGAATAATTGGTGGTGATCTTGAATGCAAAAAACTCAGGCCTTTTAAAATTTGTCGACACCAAGATTTTACTACTTTTGGATTAATTTTTTTGAAACGTCTTAGATACCTATATGAAATTATATAATAATTTAAAATCATAATTACATTAATAGAAATTTACAAAACTATTTCATGAATTTAAAAACCTACGTTTTTAACGTTCCTGATGTCATAAGTTCAGTGACTAGCACAATGTATTTTCTACGTGTAAGTGTAACTTCCCAATAATCATAAAATCTAACAATATTTGGATGTTGTAATCCTTTCAACATTTCTGCTTCTTCTCGAAATCTTAATCTTTCTGTTTTATTTAATTTTTTTTCCTAAAAAAAATTATAATTGCATATAAATGTATTTAAAAATTGAACAAACACTTCATCATATTTATCTGACCTGCAATTCACACCAAGCAACAGCTACACCAGTTTGAGTATCCAGACCTCTATATACAGTCTTAAAGCTACCTCTACCAATTTCTTCTTCAAATTTTAAAAATCTACCATCTGGTGATATACCTATAGCCTTTTCTTCATCATCATCGTCTTCAACAGTCTGCACTTTAACTTTCAACAATAAATTTCGCACTTCCTCCATAGCCATTGTTTTCTGTGCTAATTTTTCATCTGCTTTAAAATTTTCATCAAGCAAAGGACCAATAAACCCTTCTACCGTTTCTTCTTGTACGACTTCCTTTTCTTTTTCTTCTTTTACCATTTTGGTTTCGTTTTGCACGTTTGTGTCCTTAACATTTTCCATTTCTGCATCTAAAGGTGGTACTTTTCCTAATTTACTCAGAGATTCATGAAGCGCCTGAGCAGCAACAATATCACTAATACTGGTGCCGTTATCATCTTCGTCATATATCGTCACTCCCCCTTCTACTTCTCTTTGCGGATCTATATCCTTAACCTCAGTGTCTACAATTTCTTCGGATACTTTTGATGTTACAAATCTCGAACTTTTTACTGCTTTTTCAGTTTGTCGTGTATCTTTTTTATCATCAATCACATTTTTCTCAGAATTTTTAACTAAATCTTCATTTTCTGTGATATTTGCAATTTTTGATCCTTCGTTAGACGTTTTTCGTTTTGCTTTTTCGTTATTTTTATTATTAGCTGTTGAACTTGTGGACGTTTCTATGGACGTGCTTGTATCTGTATTCTTTTCCATATTTGTTTCTTTTAAATTTTTACTATTCTGTTGTTCAATCATTTTTTCTGCAACATATTTGCTTTTATGTTTTATACTTTTGCTTTCACTATTGCTGCATTTTGTACTTATGGAAGAAGTAGAAACTACTTTTTGTTTATTCTGTGCACTTGCTTCTTCCTCAATACTATTTGCCGATATTTTTCTCGTAATATTCGAAGTTTTATAGGATTCTGAACATTCTGATGTCGATGCCCTTTGTTCGTTAGAATCTAATGACCCTTTTTTATCTGCTGCATTCTGTGACGATTCAGCACCTTCTTCGTTAATATTGCATTCCATACTCGTTTCATCTTCATCCGATTTTTTTGACTTTAATCGACTAATTGGTGTCGATGGTGTAGAACTGGATCCTATACATGGAATTGAACATTGTAATAATGACCATAAAACATTCTATGCACAAAAATTGTAATTAAATACACATATGCAATACCTGGCATATTGAACACATTTTCCGTTGCTGTAATAGCTTCCTCTGCATCACTAAAACTGCGTTCATTTTCATAATCTAAGGATGGCGAATTGAGATTCCGAGATGATTTTTCAGAAATTCGTAAAGCAGATAAAACTTTCTTTTTAGAAGAAGGTGAATTACTGGCGACTCCGTTACTTGTTATAGATAATGAATCTGTGTTATGATCAGTTCTTTGTGTCCGCACTTGTTTTTTGCAGATTGCAGAGGAACGACTTAAATTTGATGTCTAAGAAAATTAATATGAACATAATTTATATCATCATAATAGTATTATTGAAATATAAAATATTTTTTGTTTCTTGAATATACCTTTTTATCCCCAGAACTATGAGCACTAGTGCCAGCTTGTGAAACAATAGATAATTTTCTTTGGCGTTTATGATTATGTGTGTGATTATGAATCCTTTGAGTAGTTACGACTGAACAAGGGCCTCCTCCTTCCTGTGAGGCTAAGTGGCCCACTGCCAAACTAATCCCACTCTGGTTACTGCCACCTCCACTGGCCACCAGCTTTGGACATAAACTTGACAGGCCACTTCCGCCTGAAGATTGTTGTCTATTTGTCTCATACCTAAAACATTGTTTAAAATACTATATAATTCTTGAACCATATACTTTTTTAAAAGTTTTAACTTTCTTTTCAGTAAATATAATGAAGCGCTACTTTAAAATTTCTTTCTTTCAATTATATGTATCTTATATTAATTCATATTACAGAGTGTGCAGGAAGCTTTTATTTTATAATATAAAATATAGATATAAATTATGATAAAAATTATTATTAAATAAAATTAAAATTATATTTAATATTATGAAGTAATGTTGTTTCATGATTATGATAAAATACAAAAAGAAAATATTATACACATACATATACATTTTATAATCAAATACATTTTATTACATAACTATGTAGGTAAATCTAAATTAAGAAATTAATGTTTAGCCCCATCTGTATTAAATGTACATGTCAGTTATGAAATTGTTATATTATGTAATATCAAAATGTTATGAATAATATTTTGAAGTACTACTTAATCTGAGAAATAGATGGAAGGATGGAAAATATTTAAAAAATAAATTAAAGATATATGCAAGGCCTATGACAATGATGGAATTTTAAAAACATGAAAAGCTGAATTCTTAATTGTTAATAAAAAACTTATTTATTTCTGTATATTTAAATGGCAATAAATACTAATTGAATAATTTTATGTTGCAATATAACAGTAATGTAAATCATGTTATTACTAACCTTTGAATACCTATAAAATTTCATACTTGAAGTTCGGGGTCAGTAATTCTGAAAATATATTGGAATTTATACTTTTACTTTTTAAATAAAATCTTTTAATGTTATAAGTAAAATTTCTTTATTTGATTGTATAGTACTTCAATATTTAAGCTAATTTTGGTATATTAAATATTAAAATTAATATTTATACTTTACTTTTCAAAAATATTTTTTTTTTAAAAGCTTTAATAATTTCAATATGTACATGTACAGTACGGATGAGATATACAAAAGATATTTATGCATGTGTAGTTTGTTATATTCAGTAATTAAAAAACGTTGTTAGGGGAATTGAAACATTTTGTTCCTTTGTCATATATTTAAAGCTATGTATTTCAATAGAATAATAGAATAATTCTTTAAAAAATGAAATCTGTAAAATAGCATAATATTAGAGAACAATAATTTAATAAAGTGCATTCCAAATTAAACATATACATGTATGTTGAATAAGTATATTGAAATGAAAGGCAAAGAATGAATTACAGCAAAGAAATTAAATGATAAAATGTAAAAAATGACAATGTAAGAAGCATGATTTTGATACAGACATCATTATACCTGTCCTGCCTGCTGTGGCCAGATGAGAGGAATCCACGCACTGTATTGCCTATAGCTGCTCTCTTTTTAACTTCTTTTTTCCGTTCTCGGCACCCACCAGATCCAGTGTCCACTTGATCTTGACGAGTGTTTCTATCTCCCTGTAATCAATAGGGTATTATAATTCTTAATGTGACAATAAATATGTACAGAGATGTCAATAACATTTAATATATTAAAATAAAATTAATTTTTTAAAAGCTTACCTTAATACTTAAAAGCTTTATATTCAAATTAGTACTTGTACTTGTCGGAACTGGACTTAAATCACACCTTACTCTTCTGTGTGATTTTTCAACAATTGGTGGGTCCTCTTCTAATTCCAACTGATTTCCAATTGAAAATGAATGGCTCTGTGTTAACAAAATATCCTCTGTATTATGTTTTCGACTGGTGCCAACCGAACTCACTGCCTTGTTTTCATTGCAGCATCTCGGCATTGCACATAACCAACGTATGAAAGAGTTCACTTTATAAAAATCCTTGTTTCCTGTGTGTGTGTATATATATAGGTAGATATATATATAGGTGTGTATATATATATATATATACCTATATATACCACACGCGCGCGCGCGCGCACACCCCACGCACGCACACACACAATATATACACACGCACGCGCGCGCGCGCGCACGTACACATACACAAACACATATATTTTCCTTCTCAATTTGACTTGAATAAAGATTTAATGAAAACTTTTAATGTCATATTATTCATAAGGAAAACAGTACATAATATCTTTAATTAACTTTATTTTTCAAGCTATAAAATATTGGATGCATTTATGCAAATGTACAGAGTATGTGGTTCTTATATTCATCACAGATTTTTTTCTTCATTTATTATATATACTCTGTTATTTCAATTTCTTAATAAATATTTAATACCGAAGAAGTTAAATGATTCTGAAAACAGAAAGGGTATTTATATTATTAATAATAAAAAATTACTAACAAAACTTTACATATTTATTTTTATATAAATAAATTGCGATAAAAATTCCTATGTATATCATGCAGAATTTAATTTTACATTTATTTTGATCAAAAACTATGTTTCTTTTTACAACTAGAATTTCTGTGTAGTATATGCTTATAACTTTTATTTTTTACGAAATAAAAGAATTTTTAATTTCGAGATATACTTCCAAAATTAACATAGTATATTTTATAATTATAAATCATATTTTAATTAAATATTATATATTAAACATGATAAAATATTCTTATAAATCACGTACTTATTTTTTCTATAAATTGTAAATTTTATTCATTTCTAATGACTTAAAATAATAAACATTTATTACGACAAAAATAGGGGAAAATTAAAATTTTTTGTAAACAAAAAATTACTAATTTATAAAAATTTTACCATCCTAATTAAGTTTTATATATATATATATCGTACTTGTAATGTCAATAAAAATATATATATTTATTTGACTAGTCATTATGCATTATTATTTTAAATAATACTAGTAACTTTTTAAATATTTGCGTTAAATATGAACCACTATTTTTATTAAGATAAATTTATGTTAAATGATGTATTTTTTTATCATACCATATGTTATATTAACGAATAATTTTTAAATAATTTTTATAATGAATATATTCAGAAAATGAGCGAAAATAATTTTTTATTTTCAAAAAAGAAAATTAAAATTCGAAGTATAGAAGAACATCATGATCTAAATAGAATCCTATCAATAAACCTTGAATCAATCTATTTTACAGAGAACAGATTGCATGTGTATAAGTCCTCCTTGTGGCACAGTAATTCCTGTTTTACAAACGTTTATGTACTGTACAGATTGTATAAATTTAGCAACATCAATAGCATAATGTTGATCATGTCTACTGCCAATAAATGTGAGGACAACCGATCTCAGAATTAGTGCTTAAAATATATTAAACATCTTGTACGATATATTCTACTATTTGTTAATAAATCAAAATTTATATTTTGCAATTTTTCAACAAAATAATCGCGATAAATGTCAACGTTTAATGAAAAAGAACCAACATAGTGCGGAAAAAAATTTACTTCGTTAATATAGCAGTATGTTGTCAAGCATCATGGAACAGTCACTTGAAAAATGTTGACAGTATATAGCAAGTAGCAGGTCTTACGTATATACTGTGATATACGTATCTTTCAGACACACCGTTGCACTGCATGCTACACACAGGAACGACTGCGTATTAAGGGGTGAAGAGGAAGTACCACACATGTATACCGCAAATCAAATAAATGCACACATTCGTACGCGCGCATATAGTCAAGACACTAAGTTAATGTGACATCTATCCCAAAAATATCGCGTCAATGCATATTTTACACATTGTTCCGCGGCAAATACTTTCCAGACATATGAATAAATACAAATTTTTTCGTTCTTTAAAAACGTCAAGAATTTTACCCAGATTTTTGACTGATAAAATACATTGAGAAGACCGCAAGTACTTGTCATGCGGAGATGCGTGAACAACAATACCTACTTAGAGTCGCGATTTCGAATAGAAATGTAAGATATTTGCACGGTTATCGATAATTTCATTACCTCCGATATAGACCCGGTCATATTAGCTTCGCGACGCACTGACAAACAGCACTCGTAATTCCTTAGTCAGCCGGTACTCACATTTGTGTTGCAGAAAATCGCCCGACTACACCCAAATAACCACCATTTTTTTCACTGAATAAACGCGCACTCTTGCGGTGCTATGCGTTAACAATGATCAAGTTATAAATTTATGCCGCGTACACACAAAACACGATATGTTATCATGTAACACTGATTATAGTTCGTTGGAAATTATTTTGTAGGTTTTATTTTTTAACACACACATCAATTGACTATTTTTCAAATTAACTTATTATACATATATTAAAACTTGTTTAAATAAGAAGTTATTTTATACTCAACTTATCTTGACAATTATAAACAGTTTGATTAATTTAAGTAATTAGATGTAATATGCATATATTCATTTCAAATATGCACACATTCGCTTCAAATTTTTTACAAAAATGTTTCATTTGTTTCACAAGCAACGTAAGAAATCAAAATATTTAAAGATGAAATAGAGTTTATTCACAGAAAAATGTAACCAACTTGGAAATAGAAATTGCGTTCTATACACATGCAAAAGAATACACAACCATCATGGATATTTAAAACAGAGCGTAAAATTATTTGAATTTAGACTTCCATAATTTTTATGATATAAAGTCACATTAAAACTTCTAAAAACATTTTATCAAGCATTAAGTAACTATTTTTTCACGCACATATCTCGATAGGAGACTATGCGTTATATGCAACCGAAACTTGCTGTGAACATAGAGAGGAATGCATCGATGAGGTTCCCTTATGTTACTACTGGTGGCACTTCTATCGTATACAATTTCAGTAATAACTACATTCGATTTCGATTCTATATTCTTTATAAAACATATTGTACTTACCTGATAGTCTGTAGTAGTCTGCGGACATGGTTAACAGTGAATTGTAGCATTATGTAGATACGACTATAAGGCTAGATTTAAAGCTAATAACGCTTTTTGTGTTCGTGCGAGAATATCACAGAAAAATGACTCGCACAATATCATCGAATTTTTAGGAATTAATGAAACTGAAAAAACGGAAGAATCTGTGCGCGCAGTGCGTGAATATGCCCGCCAAGGTCTCAAAGAAGGTCGTGGGCATGATCGTACGAAGCCGAAAATTCATTATTAAGGATGGGGTTATTACGGTACTGAACATTCAGTTTAATATATACTAGATTTTTAAGTTACATCTTGATCCTTTCTATATATGTTTTTTCTGATTTGGCATCGAAAGTAAGTATGATTTTTCATTCGGTGCATGACAAACTCTAACGACGATTGCTCTGTGTTTATCTTCTACCACGTAGTGCATAATAGTGAATAATAATTAAAAAGTTTTTTTTATATAAAACACGATTTCGAATCGTTTAAGTTGTTTCCGAGATCGTTCATCGAACGAAAATTGTGAGTTCTAGCGTGATTACATTATAACTATAGTTCTAACACGTACACATGGCTATATTTTGTTCATTTTTATATATATATGTTACTAAAATTCATTTTCATGTAGAGGATTATTATAAAATACAATTTACACGTTTACTATAGGCAGTTTTGAATTGTTTAAAAGTACAATGGTTAATTACATATGCCTTTGTTTCGATCCTGTATTTCCTATGATTTTTTAATTAAGCAAAAGAGTGCCAATTGTAACATCCAATGATATAATAATAATCTTGTTAAGATTTAAATATAATGTGTATTAAACAATTTGGACTTTTGTTCATTCCTAATATTTTCTAATTAATGAGGTACTTAGAACCTGCAACCAGCTTCTTTGTTTCATTTTAATTTTTTTGAAGCAGCTTAAAGTATTTTGTCATGTATAAAATATAATATAGTTATTATACTTTCAAGTATTTTTTACTTTATTGTAAAAAATATTCAAAGTTATTTTGTATGTGAAAAAAATTAATGAATCTGTTACATTAATTTTTTTATTGTTTTTAGTTTTATAGTCAATTAGAATTAATCAAATCAGGAGCTCGAAAATTACTATTTATAATGTAAAGAATATAAATTATGCATTATAAAATTTATGGAAAATTATTACCGTAAATATTTTATTTATTTTACTTTTTATCGTTGTTACTGAAGCATTAACTTAAAAATGTATTTCAATATAATAAGCATATAACTTAGAAAAAATAAGTGATTAAGTACTTAATTTTGAAATAGAGGGAAAAATGAACATACATACATAAGCATATAACTATAGAAATAATATAACTTATAAATTTTTACAGTTTACATTAATAAGTCATGAATCAACTTAAAGATATACATTTTAATTATGAGTATAAAAGATGTTGATGTTATTAAACTATTATAGTTATTAAAATTAAAACATTTTAAATTGTTAATAATGGAAATACAATATATTATTATAATTATGATTTATTAAAAAAAACATAAGCAGCATGTTTGTGAAAATAAACATATTTTACTCTGGTTCATAGAAATATCGTTACTTTTTATTAAAATTGCATTAAATTGTTGATTTCTTTTTCATTATAGTAATATTATATATATACAGGTCCTTCGAATAATATCGTACTTGCGCATATTGATCAGCTGCCAACAACATGTACATAATTGATAAAAAGTAATCTTTTTGAATACGAAATGACAAGAAATAACAAGAAAAATAATTATATAAAATACTCATAAAACTGATAAATTTTTCGTTTAAATGTATTATAAATATATGACAAATACAATGTTGCTTCGTTACTAAAATTTTAGGTTAGATTCAATCTAAAGTTATGACGAAATAACTACAGCTAGTGTCATAAAAAGTGGGGGGTTTGGTGGTAGAGTTGCAATGCAGTGATCGGGTTTTTCTTTAAAATTTCTGATGGTTGCAT